GTACTAAGTTCGAGGTTCATTACTTATTGGGACACATAACTAATAGCACATTGTTTAAAAAAAACAAAGATTTCAGTGAATTTTGATGATTTGCAGATATTTAGCACATTGTATAACAGGTGTTGTATCTTGCACGAAACTACAGTTGATAATGCAGAATGGTATTCATTGACTAGCTGAATAAAACAATTGAAACTTATCTCTACTATTCGCAAGTTAAATCAATATAATATAAATGATATAGATCTCTGTTTAACTCTTAGTGTTGTGCTCGTTGCCTGTCATTTTCTATAGGTGAATTAGTCAACCGATGTTCATTGTGTAAAAGCAGTAAATATTCGAAGTTCTATAGAATGAAAAGCAAAATTGATAAGAAATATAGGTGAACACTCCAATATTCTTGAAAAAAAGAATTTCGTGAAAGTTATCAAAGTACAATGAAGTATTGGAAGAAAACTCTTTATATGTTGTATATTGGATGATAGCAGACTTCGGATTCGACTTCCTTATAGTGAATGAAAACTTTAAAATATTTAAAATAGAAAACAGATTCGTTATATGTTTTATGGGCATTTACAGACGATCCTACTTCAAAATTGAACAAATTCCTTGTAGGAACTTAAGAAAAGTGATTCTTTACAAATGACATCAGTTGTATTGTCGTCTATATAATGTGAAATTAATTTCTATACGAACGAATTGACATCTTTCAAAAGAACATAAGACTTTGATTTTGTTTAACGACGATAGTGTAGAAGCAATGTTTATTAGTTAGTCTGTTGTTGAAGTCGATCACTGATAATATGTTTTATTTGTTTTTAGGCAAATTGGACTTATCAAAATTGATCGATATATCCATATTGGCAAAATCCATTCCACGACTGACTTCTTTATGGACAAGTGGATCTCATCTATGTCCTGATGAAAATCTGGCTACATTGATTTTGTCACTTGTAACACACTTTGATGAATTGACCGAAGTCATTCTAAATAAAGGCTGTGGCCATTCATATCATGTCAATCAAGATCTTCAAACGACACTTACTCAACAGCAGCACATCGAAAACTTGCTAAGAAATACTGATAAACTTCGAGACTCGGATCGTACGTACATTTATTGGATCTATTATCATCAATTACACATTTGGTTCTAGGACACTATCTAGATTTGTCATTCGTAACCTCCTACTATTACAATAGTTTTATATGCTAATTAACGTTTCTTTAGAAAGAGTTTATTTTGAATAAATAAATATTCATTTGACTTATTTACAACAACGAACTGTTTGATAACCTAATATACGATTTATTTATTCAATGATCCTATCAATTCTTAAACAACCAAATCAAAAGCAACTTTACATCGCATGAGTTGGATACATTCAAAAGAAGTTATCTTTCACTGGAATGCCTTATTCACATATATCCGAATAGATTTTTTTAAGCAGAAATTTCCTTAAAGGTTTATTTAGCGTCAAATTTTCTGGCTAATTATTTTTTATTGTTAAGTTTTTAATCTTCAATCATTTGAACAATTTTTTCGTCCATTTTTCTTCTTAATCAGCAATATTTTTTTCTATTACCTATAGTTTATGTCTGCAAAGATCAGATTATTTAATAAAAAATTCTTTTTTTTTTTACGAAGATTTATTTAAATATCGACAGAGAAACAAATTTCTTAGATAATGAGTATTGATCCAAACTTGTTATTTACTATTCTTTCACATGAAACTTCGACGAATAAAACCAAAAATAAAACATTTCTTACCAAAGAACCTCTATTCTCATTGATCATAGACCAAAAGAAAATACTATTTGGGCGTTTGAATAACCTAAAAAAGATTTAGTTGATTTAGTAACAGTGGATCGTGAATTTTATAAATTTTCAAAACAAAAACGAAATGTCTATTTACTTTATTTTGAAGTTAATAAAGATGATGAGAATCTATCCCAGATGATCATTCACAACAATGTATTCATCAATTACATGAATAACTTGATCAACTAAACCCCTCTCCGCATTAGAAGACCCCTGGTCTTCTATTATGTCTCGTCATAAAAATTTCTCAGGTGGGTCTTCTATTATGTCCTAGGTTTTTTAGCAATTATTAACTAAATGTGGTTTTCCAGAAAGCCAGAGCGATTTTCAGGATTCTCATAGGAATTTTAAGTTTTGAGGATTGAGGGATACATTTGGACTCACTTTCTAAATATTCCCAGTTGAAAAGCCTAAAAACTGTGCACTTCTGGACGGAAACTCCATAATTAAAATTCCTTATTAGCAAAAAATTAATTAATTAAAGGAGGGCCTTCTATTATGGGGGGATCCACTAATGTGGGGAGGGGGGGGGGGGGGGTATCTTTTTTTTACACAAAAAAAAATAATCAATCGATTTTTCTATGAAGATGAAGATCGTTAACTATTAAGTAAAGATGAACGAGAACAAGTTTCAACTGAAATTATTCAAAAATGGCCTAATCAACTTCAACTAACAAATTTTCATTAGATATTTTTCGATGATTAGTTATTTTTAATTTCGAAAAATCAATCAACATTAAATTTTATTCAACATCTAATATGGGCTTTGCGTTTAGCTGTTCAATCTGCTTATGCTACTGATCACATGTATCAATTTATGCAGATCATCAAACAAACAAACAATTTAAAACTGATATAATTTATCATCCTCTATGTTTAATTTTTTCTTTATTAAAATTTCTTCTCAACTTTATCATTTAATGCAATTGTTTGTGTATGTCTATCAACAATTATCATCTGTAATTTGCCGATTTCTTCCTATAAAACTTCTTACAACAAATAAATAAAAAGTCTGAACATATTCAACTTGTAAATATATTCGAAATATTATTGTCAAATATTTCCTTTATTTTACACGAGTTTGTTGTTTCTTTGAAATTATTTTATTGGGTCGGTTCAATAGAGTTCGACGGCTTCCAAAAATTACTCGAAACAATAGTTTCGCTTCCAGTTTTTTTCAAAACGCTCAAGTCTACAATTCATACATGAATGACTTATAGATAATTAAATGAGCAAGCCTTGCATGTGTCTCAACTCACACAGTTATAATCTTTCAATATGTATAAATTAGAAATTTGATTTAAAAGAAAGGAGGGGGGGGGGTCGATTTTCAATGAAATCGGCCCCTATCAGAAATTCGACTTTGTCTTAGCGATATCGTTGTATTCAGCAATTGCAGAATGCTTACCAAGCAGAATTCAGAATTCTGTGGATTTATATATTTTTTAAAACGAGTTGACTTCTGCTGGATGTAATAGAATTCTATTTCTGCTTGACAAGAATTCTGCAGTCCCTCTCGAAAATCGACAAATATCTGTCAAACATTGTAGATGTCGAACGAACGAACGGAGAAGAAATGAAACTTAAATCAATTATATATTTTGATAGAGTGTCGAACGCTGTACAAAATAGTCTAATTACATCGTTTTCCTCTTACTTTTTCATAGTAGAAAAATTTCCTTTATACATATCAGGGAAAAAATGCCGCTTTTTATAATGTATCTCTCATAAATCAGCGACAGTACGAACTTAAACGCTGAAATTTTGTGTAGCAGTGCTGGAGGTTCATTTTTGACGATTCTGTAACACACCTAGATTCCAGTCATAGACTAGGCATGGGAGAGCTTAGAAACTAATGTAACTTTCAAGATGTTTAGAAAAATCTGACTTGGATATCTTCTAAAAATTTCAGCCTATGCGGCTTCATTCGATAAGAATATTAAAAAAAAGGAAAAATGGAAATCATTCGATTCCGTCACGCTTGGATAAATCGTAGGAGCAGATAAATTCTAAATTTCTCAACCGGTAACGAGATATCGATTATTTTTTCAAGTTTTTTTAGAACGATATACTTGATTTTTTTGCAAAAAACATCACACCATATTAACAATTGAACTTTTTGTTGACGCGCATGTCACTAGTTTTACCATCGTTACCGTCGGAGGAGAAGAAGAAAAACAAACAAACGCTACCATCGTTTAATTGGGAAGCACTATCGTTCTTCCACCTTTCATATGTAAACATTTATGGCGTTTTTCGTCGTTAAGAGCTTTTTCTTATTTTATCAAACGTAAGATGTCAATACTCGATCACACTGTATACATTAATGCAAGAATGAAGAAAGAAAGAAAATGAAAGAGCATCGTGTGTGTGTGTGTATATGCACATATTGAGAAATAATTCAAAATTTAAAGTGGCAACGAACGATAGAAAAGAAAAAAGAGAATTTTGATTTAACTTAACAACATCTCTGTCACTACAATTAAATCTTTCAAGTTGTATTCATTTTTAAGTATTTAATCGAAAATTCATCATGGCTGATCGTCGGTTTACAATTCAGACTGAATCTCGCGGTGTGAATACCATGAAAACAGCAGCACCAATGAATGCTGTACGTGATGATATCCAAGCACCACTTACCGGTACTGGTTCATCACCAGCTCATACAACAGCAACTGTTCCTGAACGTCGTCCATCTCAAGCAGTTTTTCGACGTTTATCAATGTCTATGGGTAATAGTCGAAAATCTTCAATGTTTCTTTCACCGAATCAACCTCGACCAAATACATATCGTATGGAACCAGATAATGAATATCGTTTTCGTCCATATAAAGTTCAATCAAAAATACTTGAAGTATTAATTGAACAAATGAAAGATCAAACATATAATCCAGCAACTGTACATGAACTTATTAAAAATGTTTCACGTAGTGTTAATCAATTAATCAAAAATTTTCAATTACCACGATATAAAATTGTTATTCAAACTATGATTGGTCAAAAATATGAACAAACTTTACGTATTGGATCACGTTGTTTATGGGATCCAAAAACAGATAATACAGTATCAGTTAATTATGAAACGAAAGATATGATTGCTGTTGTGATTGTTCATGCTATATATTTTGAGTAAATGACAAACATTTTATTTTACTTATATGACAATTCAATGAAAGATATTTCATAAGATCATTTTAATCTAATAATGATTTAGATATCTTGGGGTGTGGGTTTGGATGTTCTTTACTTACACTACACCCACACCCCACATCCTTTTTCATACTACTTACATCAATAAGTTCAAGTTTAAGTTGAATATTTTCAACATTAACTTTTGATGTTTGTCGACATTCATCAATTTTTGCATATTGTCTTTTTTTTCTATTACAATTACATATATATTTTTTTATTCCAAAAGTATAAATTTGACATACTTGAACTAACATATCACGATATGTTTTTAAATGTCCAATTTCTGCTCGACTAATTTTAACTGTTTGTCACTAAAAAAGAAAACAATCAATCTTCTCTTTTTAAAGATTATCGATTCCACAAAACTTTTTCTGTACGAATTTTTCGAATTAATTTAAATGCTTTCATATATTTTGTTGCAGCAAATATATCATCAAATTTTGTTTTTAACTGTTTTCCTTTACTTAATGGCCTTAGAAACCATATTTAAACAGTAAAAGAACATCTATATCAAATAAAAATCTTCTAACTAACCAATTTGATTCTTCTTGATGACAAAAAATAATATTTTCTAGAATAGCTGTCGATACACCAAATGCTGTAATCATTTCTTTATCAAGTTCAATACATTTTGATGTTATCTGTATTGGTTCACCATTAATATCTTCACGAATAATAACACTTTCAAGAGTTCTTAAACTAATATTTGTTTTCTATCAGAGAAGATAATCTTTTTATTTAAAACAATTATTTAATCTTTTACTTTTTGTGTGGCAACAAGTGAACGTTAAACTTGTACATTTTGTCCGGTAACATCTTAAAATAAAAGTCGAATTTGACCATGCATTTCTGTATCATGTACTACTTTTGGATCATGTACAAATACTCCACCTGTTTTAGCATCTGGTGGCATTATACCTGTTGCCATATTATTTTAAACATTTAATAATTGTTATTTTACCCGATCCATTTGGACCGATAATAACTATTAATGGAGAAAAAAATGTTATGACTTGAAATATTTTAATCTCGATTTCCAAAGTTACGTATGCCTTGAATAGATATTTTATGTAGACGAGACATGATTTAAACTATTTGAAAGACAAAAAAAAGAGAGTGACTTAGTATCAAAACTTGAAAAAAAATAGATCAATGTAATTTCACAACTGATCCAATGAAAAATAATTTGTTATGCAAAAAAAATCTTTCTTTATAGAAACATTAATGATTGTATAATATAATTTATATTGTATTTTACTTGATATAAAGATAATAGAAGGTCGTTAATTAATACGATTTTAATTCGATCAATCAGATATAAAGGATATGATCAGTCAATTCATAAAACAAAATAAGATAATTCTCTGATTGAGTATAAATTGACGATTCAAATTGGACGATTTTCAGTAGAAATAGGCAACAAAAGGTAGCTGTGAGCAATTTTCTTTGAGATTGGTGTGAAGGATATAACAGGTGCTTTGTACTATGATCGTTAGATTACAGGTAATAAGATGTTTCTTTTGTTTTTTATTTTTTGAGAGTTTCATAGAAACAGATTGAAGGTCATTAAATGTTTTACTAATAGATTAAGATTAGTGTTCAAAGTTTGATTTTTAATTATCGACGATTTTGCTTTATTTTCGATTTTCCAAATGATTGACTTTTAGACTTTTCTTCTGAAATGAGATTGGAAGATTGTTTCCAACATTTTCTGTTTCGATTGAAACAGGTTTTAATGGCTTAATTTTGATTTCTTTTATAAGGCATATTCGAAAAGAGCGAAAAATAAGTGAATATTTTGTGCCACAACTTTTACATCAGGCTACATTAAATGGAAAATTACTAAGGTAATAATATGATCAATGATGATAAACTTTATCAAAGTTGTTTGTCACAACTGTATCATTTACTGTGTCTATGCTCCGAAAAATAGATGTTTGCTAAGAGAAAACAAGTTTGTTTTAGGTTTAGGTTTTCGAACACAAATAGATATAGAAAACAAAATCTTATTTTGATTGATAAACATGCTCTCAAGAAATGGATTAGATCCTTATGCTAAAAGTCTTAATCAATACCTTAGAGTTTGTAAGTAAAGATTTATTTAATGAGAAAAATAAATTTTCTTCTTTTTTTTCTACGATTAGATTATTGGAAACAAGATAATGATGAATTTAGTCAAATAAAGAAATTCAAAATTTCTAATCCAGGTGATTGTACATCTCAAAAAATCAATATGGATTTTCTAAGGGAAAATCATGTGTACTTGTTAAAATGAATAAAGTATTAAAAAAAAAGACTAAATAAGAAAATAAATAAAATCATATTGAATTATAGATTGTTGATTTTCTCCCAAAACAAGGTTATGTATCAGAAGATGAACATGCATTTAAATCTACTCAATGTCGATCAAGTTCTAATGCTATTGCTGTTCATTGTTATGGAGAAATAATTTATTATTTCTTGTCTATGAAAAAAAAAACAAAAATCTTGATTTGTTTTCTTTTATTTAGTATCCAGCTGATGTTGATAATATTAAGAATATAACTTATATATCAGAGAATGGTCATGATAATAACTGTAGTTCACTTGAAACCAAATGGTTTCCTTATGAGTAAGAATATTGTTTTTATAATGAAAATTAGAAATGCCTATAATAATTGAAAGACACCAAAAGTATTAAATCTTGATCGATAAGTTCTATCAAACTGTGCCAAACTGATAGTTTATAAAAGGAAATATTTTTTTGTAGGGATAAAAAAGAACGTCAAGATGTATATCAAGCACCGTACGTATGGGTTAAATTTAATCAAGTTAAACCAAATGTATTAATCAATGTTATATGTCGAGTATTTGATGCAAATATTAATTTTGATAAAAAATCATCTCGAGCTCTAACACGTTTTCAAATATACATAAAAGATATACCAAAAAGTATATTATCAAGTTAAATAGATGAAATATAAATCAATGTTTTCTTTTATCAAATATATTCACAAGTATGGTTTAGACAATCAAAAATTATATTTCTATTTGCTTGTACTTTTTTTTTGTTGTGCAATAATCTAAATGCAATTTTGTGAAACACGATCTAAAAGGATTGTTGAAGTGTATAGGGGTAGAAATTTGGACCCTCGCCCTCCCCCACAGACGTGACAGACATCCTTAGCAACGACCTATCATAGACGTGACAGACATCACTACCGGACCATTACAGACTGCTACAGAGGCAGTATCGCAAGTAAAGTCTACTGCTTGTTATTAACTAATGAGAAAACGTGGAAACATTAGTTAATTGACAGAAATGGTATAAAATGGGTTACTTGTAGCAATGAAAAATATTAAAACAAGATATTTTCTCATAGAAAAATGAATAATTATAAACGGTATCACTTTCATTAAACTTTCAGCCAAGTTTCATTCTGTTTTTCTTGTAAAAAACAATATATTTTAAGAAAGTTCTCTGGTCTCTACTCCTCACGCTCTCTGTAACAGTGCGTAGTGATTGAAAATTGAGACATACGTTACTAAATTCTTTCATTCACAATATAAAAAGCTCCATCGTGTTTCACATTTTTAATCCTGCAGGGATTGCGCTGAAAGCTTTTTTGTATTGTATTGAGATATAAATGATATCAACTGAAGACAATTAATAAACATTTTTTTTATGGAACTGACAAATATTTTCGAAGAAAATAATGAGTATTAATTGTAAGTCGATGTTTGCGTCTCGTCTATTACAGATTTTAGCCACCGAACACAACAATTATCACACTTCTTTATAGAAAAATCATGATTTTCTTCTAATAACTATTTCAGAATCAGATTCACAGTTTCTCCATTATCAGTTAGTTTGTAACGTTAAAGTGACTAAAATTATTGGAATCATGAGTGGCTTGAAATACATTTGCGAACAATGTTCTAAATAGTGCAGTTTTTGATTTTAACGAAGATAAAAATTGATATTTAAGATGCCAAGAATAATGGAAAGCGATGCATTGGCTTTGCCACAATTGTCATATGGTCAACATAAAAGAAGAATGTGAACTAATCCAGTTATAACTTTAGGAAATCATCTATATCAATGTTTATGAGCTTATCAAGATATAATAAAAGTGTGTTTGTATGAAAATGAAAAGCAACAAGATAAATCAAAAAAAAAAAAGTTTCTATTTGCAATGCAGAAATAAATCAGATGATTGTTTCTCTGGTGATCAATTATTTTGAACAACAATTACATATGGTACTGCAAAAGTTTTTTCGTGTACTCTTCGGATAAATAAACAACAATTGGTTCTAGTGTATTCTTTTTAAAGTACTGTGCTTTAGTTTTAATGCACTTATGCATCCGAATAAAGCAGTCATTGAAATATTAGATAAGGAAGAGTCGTACGGACTTAGACCTATAGAATATAGTAGATTTAGGGTGTGGATATTGGTCATCTCTTAATCAACACCTACATCCACACTTTCGAGAAATATCAACAGATAAAGGAAACTATTTGCATGTCAAACATGCCATGAAACTGAATAGCGATATTTTTCAAAAAGGAATCTCTATTGAACAATTCATTCAATAAGGAATTGAAGCCGAGTTTCCACAAAATTATTTTATCATCATTCATCGCTGTTGCCTAGGAAAGGAACATCATTCATATAATTCACTTGAGAAGAGTTGTAAAAAAATCGAAAATAATTCCGAAAGATAAGAATTCATGCACCGTTTTTTATGTATTTTTTTTCGACATTTTTGAGTTTAATTAAAAGTAGCACACGTCGTATTTAAGTCCAATATGGAGAGGAGCCTATAAGAAGTTGTCAATTTCTAATATTGTACAATAAAATATGTTAAAACACAATCATTGGACCTTGGTTTTAGGCAAAATTGGAGAAACTCTATTTTCCACAATCCTAAAATGGAGAACCTGGTTTTTTTAAATACTAGTAGTATTCATTAAGATCTACATGCAAAAAAAATTTCATCAAATTCTGACGTCTAGTTTTTGAAGGCTCTCAAACCATTGAAAGCCATATATGTAGAGCAAAAATGAGCTTTTGAAATATCCAGTATATTGACTTTCAATGACCACAGTATAGGCTTCATTTTGGTTCTAATACGTTGGAGTCTTAAACTAAATGTACAAATTTCGTAAGCACTAAAATTTTAGCATAGAATGCCATTCTTATTAAGAGTATTCTGCAGAAAGTGAGCGAAGCAGCATGGCAGTACACCGGAATGAAAATGGTTAAAAAAAATAATATTTCTATTTTGCACTCAGTTTGACCTGAGATTTTGTAAGTCATAAATGACAATAGAAATAAATGATACTGGTGAATGAATTACATTGTTTTTCAGATGATTCAATAGAGTTTTCACTCAAACATTAGCGTAATCAATATTGAGAAAAACCGATACGTTGAAAATAATAGAAATCTTTCTATACAGCATTCAGTTTTAGGTCCGCAGAGAATTCATATATTTTCAGTTGAATTTTATGAGACACAATAATCTGAGCAATGTTTATCACTAGAAAGATGTATAGCAATGACATCTATAATATTTTTCGAAAAAAAAAAATTAATAATATAGCCAAAATTTAGAAATAAGTACTAATCATATATTAATAATATTTTATCATATTCTCGATTATATTCATTTATATCGACAAAGTTGCCAACTATAATATATGCAGCCATTTTCAAACGGTTTATAATTTCATTAACAACAAATTAAAATTCACGTAAGGATCATTGCTTGTAAAGCTGTTGATATTATAGTGTTGTCTTCAGTAAAAGATATATAGTGAGTATAAGATAGTATCTTCTTCGAACTATTCCATATTGATATGGCTGATCAACATTCTTCACATGAATCTAATACATCACATGGTGATTCATTACAGGTACTATGATAATTCTTAATGAATCTTGATAGGATGTCTTGTCTTAATGAAAAATTAAATTCAAATGTTCTTTTTTGTAGAATCAACCGAATACAACTGTTAGTATTAGAACATTACTTGAACAAAACAACATGTTGTGTAATGATAATACAAACTTACGTCAACAAGTACAACACTTAGTGCTACAATTAAATCAACAACAAATTGATTCTGATCGACAACTTCAAGAAACTTTGTTCAATTTATCAGAATCAAATAGAATGTTAACAATTGAACTTAATCAAATAAAAAAAGAAATTTTTAATTTAACTGAAGAAAATAACCGTGTCACACAGGAAAATACATATTTAAAGGAACAAATTGATGATCTTAAACAAGAAAATTTACATTTAAAAAAACAAGTTGATGATCTTAAACAAGAAAATATGTGTATAAATAAACAGGGTGTGGGTATGGGTGTGAGCGTGGATGTTCTTTACTTACACTACCCACCCACACCCACACCCACCCTCACCCACACCCACACCCCACACCCACCCCAATTCGGAACCACTTAGCGGTATAACTGTGCCTATTTCTGCATAGCATAATGCACCTATAATAAATATGTGTATTTAATAAAAAAAATTAGCTCTTTGAACTCATAATCTTGCCTAGCATAGACACGACACCACATAATACCCATATTACTAAACATAATCCGACTGATTGTGTCTGTATTAGAACACCTTTTGGAGAAACAAATATTCCCGAGTCTAACATAGAAAATGTTTCAAACAAAAATAGACTGAAATCAACATATCTTACTCACCAATGATCATGCCAAGTATAAATGAGATTCCGGAAAATAATCCAAGATGTCGTTTAAGTGTTTTCTTTTCGATAAACAATACTTCATTTTTGCCTGAGTTAACGTCTTCAATTGGTCTACTAGTTGAATCTATTCGTCGTTCTTTAATAGATGTTAAATCTGCATGAGCATTAGGAGAAGTAAGTTCGACACGATTTGTCTAAAGGTAAAAGAGACAAAAAAAGAAAAGAAAAACAACGCTTTTTTGAATCATGGCTTCTACAACGTCTTTATAATTACCGGAACAAACATATCGTTGCTATTGTTGACTATTTCTATGCGTATTATTCCTCAAATATAACCGAGATTCGAAGTCAGTTCTTCTTTAAATCTTACTTTATAAATATCCAGGTAAGCAATAAAGATAAGAAGAAATATTCTTGTTTTGAGTATATAATAAAATCATCCATTAGTTGAAGCTACTTCTTATAGAGTGGAACATGTGAGACATTATTGTTTATTTGCTCTGTTAATCCTTCGAAATTCGACTGTGTGTGAATGTTGAATATTGGTGTTGGCCTTCCTTTCACAAAACTCCCATACCCACACTCTATTCCCAAACATGTACACCCATATTCACACCTTTGTCATTTTTCTTTGAATTATCTGTCTTAATGGATATTGTTCATCATATAAAGGGTGTCTCATGATATCTTTCATACTTTTTCTTGACGTAATGCTGAAATATTTATCACATATGTATCTAATTAAGATCTTTTATTTCTGGAAGTTTCAGCTCTCTAACTATAACTAATATCCATTTAAAAAAAAAGAGCCCTGAGTATTTTTGTTTTTGAATAACTTGAGAACAGGAACAGCTAACGAGCTGCAGTTTTCATCAGTCTAAAGAAGAGAGATTGGAACGTTTTTGTCTCCGATATTGCATAAGAAGAAACTGTTTTAGAATTCACTGTTTTTGTGGGTGTGGGTGTAGGTATTATATGCTTGCACACCCACACCCTCAGTATATAATATTAGCATTTTAGACTTGATAAAACCTTTTTTTTGTCAATCTGTTTGTGATATCAAGCAAACAAACAGAGACTCAATGATAGAGAAGTTTTATTATCTTCTAGCTACAGATTATGCCAATACTGGCTATTTACATCTTAACAAGAATGTAAATTATGAAGTACAAATAAAAAATATCTATCTTCATTATTTGAAATAATCAACATTAAAATGCAATCGTAAAAAAACTAATATTTTCTTTTTAGCTCTGTTTATTTTTAGTTTCTTCTCAACATTAAATACCAATAGAGTATGTTTCATATAGGAATACATTTCTTCATTGATCTTCTATGAATAATTTCAAAATTATATGAAAATACAAAATATAATTTATTTACTGTGTCCTCATGTTCACTACACAATATTCCGGAGTGACTATCTGAAATGCTCAGATACGAATAAAGCAAAAGAATAATAGTTCTTTTTTTTATAAAGTTTATTTTATAATACAAAATTCAAGTAATTCTTCTGTTGTTAACACAAACTATTTTGCATTAGGCAGTTACTTTTTCAAGTAATAACTAAGTTTTATTTGATATTAAGGATATGATCATATAAATACATACGCTGTTCTTTTCCTTCTCGTTCACATCTGCGAAAAAAAAGAGAACCGATAAAGACCAGTTCCAATTCTGAGTAAAGTTATATAGATAAATCTGTATCCAGTTATGCTACCAGAAATTTAAAAGTTGGCTATGTATGCGTATGGATGGTATAGTAATTTATAAAGAAAAGAACTCTAACCTGTATGGGTTATTGTAAAGGATTCAAACAATATAGTGAAATCAAATTGTACGATCTTGTATGAACGCGCAATAATCTGTGATTGATCTCACTGTCTGATTGATCGACTTGGATCTATTCGTTTGAACTAAAACTTTTAGTATGTAATAATTGTTGTGAGATTTGTTATTGAAGAAAGTTTCAAATGGAGACTCGTTATTGCAGTTCTTTTTGTGAATATCCTGCAATATGCTGAAAATTTACTAGAACAATCATGAAAGGCTTAAGAGCACAAACATGTTTAATGTTTTCATCATGACTATGAGTCCTACTTATGATCTCGAACAGAGGATATCAGTTGGAGAAGTTCTCTCAATATCCATTTGCTGATAAATAGGACAAAAAAAAAATGTTTGCTCATGTTTTTATTAGAGTCATACAAATTATATTTAAAAAACAAAACGATTAATATATTATCTAGTTTATATTTGATCAAAAGCTTTGTTTTCTCTGAGTTATTATTCAAATCATAACACACAAACTAGGAAATATTTGATACTTTTCGAGAAAATATCTATATGAAAAAAATATATATCTTCACGAATTTTTAAATGTAGTAACAGAAATTGGTGATATAATTAGATGTTCTTTTAGTTTTACATTTGGTTCTTGTCGTTGTAACATTTCAGCAACAGCATAACATCATTCATATGTGGAATACCATCGCGTAATACATAACCATCATGTGTACAAGCAATAAACATAGCATTAGATATATTTGATTGAACTGAACATGAATAATTATATGAAGATGTAAGTTCATCCATAACAAGACGCATCATATCTTTAATAAGATCGAGAACAATTTTATTTTCATAGAATTGTCGAGAAAGTGGATCAGACCATCTAAAATATAAATATATACACAATGGCTACCAAAATTATTCAACTTTTACTCAATAAAAAAACCATCCTAGAGAGTTCAAGCACTAGATATTGAGAAATTAGGCTTTTAGGTTGTCTAAAATTTTTACTTAGGGGATCAAATAATCAATGTTTTTAATTTATATTCTTTTTGTAATATGGTTTGCTCTACTTGAATCATTATTTGAAATTATGATAGATACTGTATATCCATTCATTAAATAGATCAAATAATAGAATTGAATCTTACTTTGTAAATGCTAATGAAGCCATATGTCCACCAAGAGAAAAACCATGTAGAGTAGCTGATGTTAATCTCATTTTTTGACACCAATGAAGTAGCATAAGTGTTTCTAAAGCAAGTACTTCACCCATGATATATAAATCGATAACATACAATAATGATGAACGAGATTGATCTGGTGGTTTTCTTAAACCATAATATGGATTTTCAAGAAGAATTGAACCTATAGGATATTGATTAATTAATGGGACTACAGTAAATAACCTTCGTCCACTAAAACCTTGATCACGTGATAGAACAAGTTGAAAATGAGCTGTAGCTACTTGAGATGAAACCTATTTAAATAAATACAACAAAAGAAAAAAGATAATATTAATTAAATGATTAAAATAACTTTAATTACTTACCAAATGTGATAAATAATTGGCAAGTGATGAACCAAATCGAGCATTTATATAATTTTAATTATCTTTTTGTTTCTTGTTTCATTATTTCAACAGTATTTTCCTGTACATTTTCAGCTGGTACAAGTTCTAAACACTCATCTCTTACACCAATTTTTTCACGTCGATAGGTAAAAATTTCTTGTAAATGAAACGTATTTCCCCAACCACGTACAAATGATTCAGTTAATATAAAACATCGAAAGAGATTATCGAAATTCATCATTTCAATCGTACTCGAATCTTTAATATCATCCAGAGAATTGTTAATTTCATCTTCTTTTTCTTTAATCGAACAAAAAACAGGACAATACAATGCTTTAGTATTCTCAATAGTTTATAAACACACACATATATACAAAAAAAACTCTTATATGTCCTTTTTATTTTCCTAAATCAATCTCGTTAGTTTACTATGAAAACAAAGAACAATATTTTTATTGCATAGCACCAGTAATGTTAAGTAATATTTGAGGACCATGTAGTAAATAGACGATATTTCTTGATTTTGATAATTGATTTGCAATACCTTCAGTGGCTTCAATTCGTCAAAGTTCGATCAAATCTAACATGAATATTAAAACAAAGTTAGACAGGGTAATAAAAGATATTCGAAAATTTACCATCACCAGCTTCATCTAAAACTTTGCCAATCAAATCAGCTGCACGAGTATCACCTTCTGCTGCAATAACATTTGCTCAACGACTTTGTTCCGTCTGTTTTTTTTTATCAAAAAAAAACAAACTCATACAAATTTTATTCTTATCGATTTACTTTTTCAACTAAAAACCGTTGTTTTCCAACATCTTGTTGTGCACCTTGTTTTAATTCAACAGCACTTGTGAATTCAGGTCTAAAACTTAAATGTGTCTAATTTAAAGAAAAAAAACAATATAATCAACTCGAGACTCTTTTTTATCGTATCTTATAATTGAAATATCATCAAGTAATAAACCAAATTGAGCAGCACGTTCTGTTAATAATTCACTATTACGTTGCGAAATAAGTGTGCGTTGTGTAATCAATTCAATAGCATCAAATTGAGACTTAGTACAACAGATTTTAAAACTTCATTAATAATCGATGGTAAAACACGTTCTTCATAATCTAAACCCAAATTTGCAAAAAATTTTTGGTAAAAGTTCAGCTCTTGGTCGATAAAGAATACGTAATTTTATATTAATCGTTTGTAAATCCAACCGATCAGTTGAGTCACCATCGATGGCCGTAAAATTTTTTAAGATACCTCAGCCATATACATTCATTGATGTTTGAATAGACATCGTATTTACCTTCTTTTTTTTACGAGCTTACATTTTCCTCATGTTTACCTCTCTCCTGAAGTTGACTGT